GCAGATTCTTTTTCATGGAGCCTATGAATGCGTCATTGAATTTCCTATGTAATAGATAAGGATAAACTTCTCATCTGTGAAAAAACTAATGCACCCAAAAACAGCTGGGCAAATAAATAAAAAAAACAAACTTTATTTATGGAAGGAAAAAATAAATTCAACTTTATGAAACTGCAGGAGGGTACAAAGATTCAACAACAATTAGAAAACGGAAGTTTTATTTGTTTTGATTTATCAAAGTATGAGGTTATGATTTGATATTATTGATGGCAAAACGTAACTGCGCCTGCGTATGACTAATATTTTCACGAAACTTTTGCTAGACTTTTATTTGCCGTGTCAAACAGGAAAAAGCGAAACCAAGAATAGTAAACTTACGAAATATTTCGGCAATAATTTCGTAAGTAATTTCGTGAAGAAACTTTGCCGTGTAAAACGGCTCTAATACGGTAAAAAGCAATACCCGAACGGCTGGAGTAAGAATGGAGTCAACCGGAGTGCACGGAGTTAGCGAGCCGAACCCACCTATGAATGATCACAAAACAAATCAGCCCCGGATTCTATTTTACGAGTCAACTCGAATTGTCTCGATATCGAATACGACAGCTCCGGACGTACCGGACGTTGAAAAATCTAAAAAGAATCGCTATTTTGAAAATTCGATACGAATTTCGACTCGACTCGTAAATAGAATCCGGCAGCTGAAACGGAACATCCATAACAACGTATTTTACAAATTTTTCGCCTACCTGATGACGCGTTGCTTGTAACCTTGTTATTAGACAACCAACTCTCTGTCACAGCCTTGCCGTGGCGAACTTCCCTTTGCTATGACCAATAGTTCTTTTCACGTGACTCCGGTTTAGCTAACCGGGTTACAAAACGGTTAGAGAAATGACATACCGTTTTCTAACCCGGTTACAAAGTGACGTGATGGATACCTACCACCCGAATTTGAGCGGTATGTTGCGGTTTGTTAAACCGGAGCCACGTGAAAAGGGTTAATGGCTATGACAGCCGAGAAAATTAGGTCATGTTTTTTGTTTTTGAATTTGAAAGTATTTGGCGCGAATATTTTTGCGTATTTCAAAGTTTAACGATATTACTGTTTTCTGTTTCTGCGTTCTGTAGGCTTTTTATCTCAATAATATTATTAATTAAGTATTAATATTATCCTATAAATACTATCGATAGTTCGTGGTGTGGTGTTCTAGAATTGACTAGCTATATAATAGTTATTTCAATAAATTTATTGTAATTGGGAATTAGGAAATAATGGAAAATGGACCAAGTAATAGTGCTACCTGTAAATTTTGTGCTAAGGTTTTTTTTCTACAAAATACAACCTCAACAAACACTTGGAAAACAGTAATAATTGCAAAAATGGTGAGGGATATTACTTGGAAGAAGTCACAATAGTATTTTATATTAAGTTAACGTTTATTTAATAGGTAAAGTTTGAGAAACAATTGCTTCTCTCAGCTTCTCTGGAGAAAGAGTAATCCCTTCTTTTACAGTTCCCGAATATGCCTTTGACGATGCTTTCTTCAAATGTATGGAGGATTTCCAAGTATCATATAAAACAAACCAGGAGTTGAGAAGGCATTTAACAACTAAGCATGGTTCCAAAATAGTGAAACACTCAATAAAGTTTGATATAGTTAAAACAATTAGAAGTATACTTAATGACTCACCAAGTAAAAACATATACTTCACCTCCTACTTATTATTTATTGTTAAAAAGTAGGTACTTATTGTAATTTATCATTATTATTGTTGAATCCATGTTGTAACAAATGTATATAAAATGCCAATTGATATTGAAAATAGACATTTTGAAATTAAATATTTTTCAGGTTCTTATTTAATAATAAAAGGTGAAAAAGAAATACCCACCAAGGAGAGCTTTATTATTATATTGCTAGAACCTACATGAAGATGAATATATCTATGAAAAGAACTCTGATATTTAAGGAAAGTCTATTATCTCAAGTAAAATAGACCTAACCACAGCCACCTATAGCTAGCAAAAAAAAGGTAAAAGTTTTGGATTTCAATCAAAAAACAAAACCATGTAATTGTGAACCATGATATGTAATTAATATTTTCAATTTTTAAAGTAAATTATTATTTAACCAATAAAATATTAAAAGTTAAAATTTTCCATTTTTAAAGTAAACAAAACACCACACCGACTCACAATACTTGAATAATATAGAAATAGAATTCTATTTTCTATTTTAAATACCCGCCAGAGAGGGAACGGTAACGCTGTACTCATTTGCGCCACAAGCCGCTTCTGCGACAACTGCATTCGTTTCGATGAGGGATATACTCCGGTCGGACTTCGGCTCGTCTGACGGTCCCGCCCGAAAGCGACTTCGGGTGGGTAGAGCAAATGAACATTAGCACAAATGGGGCGATCCCGCTTGCTCTAGAAGCCAAGAAATCTAATTATTTATCTTGTTTTTTTGGCATTTATTCATTTTTGTTTGTGGCGATTTCTATGCCTTAAATATGTAGAAAAGTTTCGAATTATTTTTCTTCAGAGCTGGGTCCTTGATATACCTACCTTCTTTAATAAACGACGTAAAATTGGTCAAAAGAAGTATTTTTTATATCCTATAGTCAAACTCAATCTAGTGCAATATCACTCCTGCAAGGTGCAACAAGGTGATTGCACAAAAGTGTGCTAAGCGCAAAACAGATGGATAAACATTTGTCACAACTTTGACCCAAGATAAACACTTGTCACAACTTTGACCCAAGGTTATCCGTAACTCATGGAGTAACCCTATATTGATAAGCCGGCCTTAGGGCCGGGTTTTCAATAGCGAGTCACCTCCGGTTGATTTTAACTCCAGGGTAAGTGTGTCCAGTTACTATGTTTACCCTGGACTTATGCTTAACCCGGGGTGACTTGCTATTGAGAAACCGGCCCATTTCCATAACACTGACAAAGACAGAGCAATCGTTCTCGTGAGAACGCTGTTCCCCGGTTACGATAATAGACACCCCTGTTGGCAACAGTGGAGTGCTGGTCACTCGGAACGCATTTTACTGCTCTGAACATGGGAGCTCGTGAAAGCGAGCAGACACATAAACTTGGTAATCCGTATTATGACATGACGCACATGAAAAAATTTGGTAACTGGACATTTGATTACTACTAGGTACTTTGATTGACACTACTATTGGGCGATTTTGGTAGCGTTCCTTTATCCAATTTTTTTGCTATATTTGATCCGAACCGTTCCTTTATTTACTTCGGATCAGAACGAGTTTATCTGATGGCCGTTCCCATATTACATTTTGGAGCATCCGGACCAAATTTTTTTCCTGTGTTTGATGCATTAGCCGAGTTTAAAACGGTATAGGTCAAAAAAAAACAATTCCTAAATGTTATAATCTTGTTAAAATCATCACTTTTCATTTAAAATCGACGAAAAAACAAGCACAACCTCAACCGCAAGCATCCCATCAAGGCCTGCGGGTGACGTCACCACTATAAGTTGCTATGCTGCTAATACTGATGACGTCACTCGCAGGCCTAGAATTGGCGAACCTACGTCCTATGAGGATAAGCAATCCTGTTAGTTTACGATTTTTGTTCCTCCCGCTGTTCTGGAATCACGTGACCCAAAATCCCTGTCGCTCCAAGCCAAGGTTGCTCCAATCTACTTTGACTGGTAATAGTTGTATTCCTTTCAAGTGTTTAAAACACCGAGCTACTCGCTCCGGTGTTACTCGACCCTGATTTCAAAGGAACATATGCGCTGGCTTTCATGTATTTAAATGGTTTGAGTCGGGCTTGAGCACTCAGGTGCAACAAACACTTTTCGAAAGGAATAAGCGCGTAACGCCCCGGAGCTTTTCCGGAGCTCCTCCCAGAGGTGTGAAAGTAATGGCGTATTCGACTACCGGCACTAGTGCGCACTCGGCTCGCATTTTGCGAGTGCAGTGCAATAATTCATGTTCGGGTTGATTCAGCTCATAAGCGAGCAAACATTTTTCGTGTTCGACTACCCGAGCTAAGCGCGGGCAGAGCAATACTTTATGTTCGGATTGTAAGCGTGGTTCGTTCAGCGTTCGAACTTTTTGGATCTGTAATTTTTGGTGGTTCAAGTAGATTGCACTGGATTCTTTGAAAAAATAATCTCAAATTTTCAATCCGTCTTTTGTCTTTCTAATTATTTATTTTGCATTTTTGAATGTAGATTTACAAAAAAAATTGTGTGAAATATGAATAATAAAAAGAGGAAATTTTTATTATTAGCTGCAGATGTATATCATCAAGTAGTAGTAGCAGTAGCTAGTATACTATTTCTGTGAGTTTTGAAATAGACATTGCCGGAAATTAAATCGGAAATCCGAAATAAATTTCAAAATTTATCAATTGAACTTTGAGATTAGGTGAAATTGGAGAAAAAAGTAAACGCAATCCAAGATCCAAGTGCAATAATGGGGCATACACGAATGCTTCAACTCGGATTTTCACGAAGCCAGTTCACTTTTTTGACAGTTCACACTGACCCAGCGCGCGATCGAATCGCCACATACCCGCTCTTGATTTCAGTGCAACTGCACCATCATTTTTCGAACTTGTTTGGAGCCAGCGCTAGGTAGTCGAATACGCCATAATACAACTATTGGAACAAGAGCTGCTTTCCAGTGCCTAAATTGTTAGAGTATCATGCTCCTGGATTGTGACGCTCTTGAACTGTTCAATTCAAGCAGCACTGGAACGATCTCGTCTTAGCCCCCACCATTTCGGACTTCAGGAGCATGGAACACCGAAATAATGGTTGGTGCACGAGGGGGCAGGGGATAACAGAAATGAGTAGTTCAAGTGTACGACACTCTAAGCACTGGAACGCGCAAAGCGATTGTAACTCAAATGGGTCACTGGAAAGCACCTAAGATTTCTGTGAAATGTCAACGTCAACCAGCCGTCAGTTTGTCGAACTAAAAAGGCGCTAAAACGAACACAACCATTTTGTGGAGATTTGGCGCGAAAACCTCATTCTACATTTTAGTATAATCGATATCAGCATGCACCGGCTACCGGTTTAATTTATTAGATATTTAATAATATAATTACTGTGATAATAATAATAATAATGGCTGGAAAACGCTCGGTAAGTATCTATTTAATAGTATCCCTTGACAATTTTATTATTCGGCTTCTGTTTATATAGAAATCTGCTTCCTGCTTAATAATATAAAATAGACACCAGAAATATTGGCATAAGTGAAAACTTGCCTTCGATCTGATATTTTTGTGCTGAATATATGTGCTCCAAGCTTCCCCACCATTATCAATGTTGAAAATTAATTTTATTTTTCTCACTCGCAGACCAATGGCAGTGAATCTTCATCAGCATCAGATGCCGATGAGGACTTCAACGCCAAGCTGGAAACAGATCAGGGCAAACGTTTTGACTACCTCCTCAAGCAAACAGAAATTTTCTCACATTTCATGAACCAAAACAAATCTCCTAGCAAACCTAATCCTGTTAGTAAACCAAAGAAAACTAAAGAACTTAATGCAGATCGCAGACATCGTAAAACCGAACAGGAAGAGGATGAAGAACTCTTAGTTGAAACCAGTACGAATACGAAAGATTTGGTTAAATTTGATGTCTCTCCCCCATATATCAAAGGAGGAGAAATGAGAGATTATCAAGTTAGGGGTTTGAACTGGATGATCTCTTTGTATGAAAATGGCATCAATGGTATTCTTGCTGATGAAATGGGTCTGGGTAAAACCTTGCAAACCATTTCACTACTTGGCTTCATGAAACATTACGGAAACTCAGCAGGGCCCCATTTAGTAATTGTACCAAAATCTACAGTCTCAAACTGGATGAATGAATTTAGTAAATGGTGTCCGTCATTGAGGGTAATTTGTCTAATTGGTGCTAAAGCAGAAAGAGTAAGTTGAAAAATTAAATCTTCATTTTTAAGATATGTCAGGGTCTGTCAAGTTTGCACCCTGTGCCGCCTAAATCTTAAACAAAATATATTCTATACCTAATAGTGTAGGTGCCCAGCGACATAAAGTTGCATTTATGAATACTGCCTTGAAATGTTGTTTGTGGCTTAATTGCGCCTAGTCTACCATCTTTTTCCTTTAGGAAAACTTTCGTAGTGGGGACTTTTCTTTTCTAGTTTTTCCGAAAGCCGACCATTTCGCGTGATGCAAAAAATTTATAGAAATCGTTTTTATTTTTAGTAAAATCGCAAGATAAATTCATGAAAAACATGAAAAAAAATGTGTCCGACAAAAATGTTGGACCGTTAAGGGTGTCTACCAACTCAAACATATCCAATTGACAAGTTAAAAAAATTTCTGAATAACAAGCTGATTTTTTCAGAATTACTTAATTAAAATATGAAAAATATAAATATCCAATTGTCCGACATATTACATTTTCCGATTTTCCTGTCCAATGCGGGAAAATCATCGGTTTCACGAAGCTAAAAAATTTACGAATAACAATTTCTTCTTTCGATTTATTGTATTGAAAACAACTATAGAACATTATGACTGAGTTGTCCGATAGTAAAACATTACCCATCAATATTATTTGCTTTATTGCAACTATATAAGAAATTGTATCGAGATTATACAGAAGATAGTAGTTATTGAATCAGAATTTACATACCCAATGTACAAGTGGTTGTATAGTCATTCTACAACTGGTTGTGTAGTCACTACCAGGATTGTTTACCCATGCTACTTGTGGTTGTATAGTTATTAAACTATGCTTTCTTTAGCGGCTGCATTATGTGTATACAAGAGTATGTATTAGTCGATGTACTGATACATTAAAAATCGCGTCGGTCGTCAGTCTTAACAGAATTTAGTGAAGTTGGTATTTAATTCTGACAAAAATTACATTTCAGAACCGCCAAAACATAATTTTTAATTTATCTTCACAAATGGTTAACAAAATTAAAATAAAAATGGAATAATTATTGATAAGTAGAATGCCTAACTAATAACTATATACTTATTTATATGTTGTTGGGTATATACTCAAGGGGGTGACTTATAGTCCTGTATGGTAGGTTTATAATTGATGTTTTTTGTCGGACAGCAAATTGGTCGCGATATATTTGTCGGACACTTACCTATATTACATGTCGACTACTTCTCTTATATACATGATTCTTTTTTTGTTTGACAGTTATTCATTAATTTTTAACCGATCATTTTCTCACGTCGGACTGGAAAATCGGAAAATCTACTATGTCGGACACTTAATTATTTATATTCTACATATATTTATTAAGTCATCCTGAAAAAATCAGCTCGTTATCCAAAATTTTTTTTAACTCGTCAATTGGATATGTTTAAGTTGGTAGACACCCTTAACGTTCCAATATTTTTGTCGGACACATTTTTTTCCACTTTTTTCATGAATTTGTCTCGCGATTTCACTAAAAATAAAAACGATATCCATAAATTTTTTGCACCATGCGAAATGGTCGGCTTTCGGAAAAACTAGAAAAGAAAAGCCCCCACTACGAAAGTTTTCATAAAGGAAAAAGGTGGTAGACTAGGCGCAATTTAGCCACACAAAACTTTCCATGAGAGTATTCATAAATGCAACTTTATGTCGCTGGGCACCTACACTATAATTTTGCACACAGACCTCCGAGAAACAACAACCGGTTTTAAATGAGGGGCAAACTTGATGGTTCCCCCCTGAATACATGCAAGAAAATTTTTAATTCATCTACTTATCATATTTTTTATATTTTGCACAGTAATTTTTAAATTTTGCAGAGCTTTGTGGAGAAAGTTATAGACTATCAAAAAATTTATAGTTGCCCCCCAACCAAACCTAATAGGTATATCTTTTATCTTTTTTATATTCTACCAATGTTGCACAAATGCACACTAATTTATAGGCTGAGCAAAATTTGAAAATAAGGGTGCAAAATAAGATAAGTTTGTTCAAATAAGTTCTGTTCGTTTTATTTGATCTCTTTAAAATATGACTATACATTTTGTACCCTTTCAGGTGTAGATCCCATCAATACAAAAAAAAAACAAGACAAAATAAAATAATTGAAATGCAAGATTAAAACTATCTAACGGGTCAATTCTGTGCACATTTTTTAGCAAATCTATAACATTCTATAACCCTATAGACAAATTGCAATTCTGCACTTCCTGTAGCTCACAGAAAATCTTATAGAATTGTAAATATTTCCGATTGGATGTTTGACAATCGATACTTTTTTTAGTGTTCTATAGGCTTATAGAAAGTTACAGATTTGCTTAGAGATGTCCACAGAATTGACATATAAAAATATTTTACGATTTTTAAGATGAAGACATAGAAAAAGAATTAATAGTAAACCTTGAATAAACCTGAATAAAACAATACAAACACTCAAGACATGGAAATCTCCTAGAACTTGGTAAAGCTTTTTTCAGAATATTCTGTATAGATCAGTTCAGATTTATTGCTATCCTTGAAAAATTCTTCAACACTATAGTAGGCTCGATTTTCCAAAAGTAACGTAATTTTCCCTCAATTTTTTTGTCAAGACATTTGTCTTAGTGTGATAGGCAATGAGTTCCATATTTTTTTCACAATATTAAAAGGTATATTTTTTTGTAAATAACTAAATTGTGGTACCTATATCTGGTCTTAGCTTATCTTTTTTCCTTGTGTCATATCTGTGTTCGATTCTTTGGTTTTCGAATAATAATAATAATAATAATAATATAATAATAATAATAGAATAGATCTGGATTTTTTATAACAAATTCTATACTCTCTTGAATATAGATATTGTAGACTGTCTGAATTTTATACTGAATAAAATTTGCTTTGCTTGCAGCTTTGTTTGCGGTTATTAGTTTTGAGATTATTCTGAGACATCTCTTTTGCAAAGTAAGTATTCTCTCAGCGTATGTAGAGTATCCCCAGAAAATGACACCATATGTCGTCCTGAGCCCCTAGCTCCATCCCTCCATATACTATACACAATTTGTCTGGTTTTGGGCCGAACGTGAAATAGTTGTTTTTTTTTTTTTTGTTAAGTGTTGAGTTGCTTGATTCGAACTGCTCTCTTAATCTATCTAGGTCATGTATAATGCCTCTTTCTATCGCTTGTATATTTTGATCATCATATAGAACAGGTTTGTTGTCAGCGAATAGTACTATGTTGTCGTTTTGTAGTGCAGCCAGCTTTTCGACCATAGTTAGGCAAGAGGTTTTGAAATCATTATGTTTGAAGAGTCTGCTTCAGTAGAGTCCTCGGTAGAGTCTTTTTTTTTGTACTCTCATATACACACAATAAATTATAATTACATACATAAGAGTGCTTACTGGTACTAAAACTATATATATATATATATATATATATATATATATATATATATATATATATATATATATATATATATATATATATATATATATATATATATATATATATATATATATATATATATATATATATATATATATATATATATATATATATATATATATATATATATATATATATATATATATATATATATATATATATTATATATATATTATATATATATACTTACATATATATATATATATATATTATATATATATATATATATATATATATATGTATATATATATATATATATATATATATATATATATATATATATATATATATATATATATATCTGCATGTCTGTCTGATAATTTAATGAAAAAGTGAATTTGATGAGGTTGCAGCAAATTTCTTTATTAAAATTTTTACCTGATATAATTTTATTGTCAAATTTAAAAATCATTTTACAAATTATTATCCTTATATTATTCTACTTTTTTATATATTTTACATCTAATATTTTTCTAAAACACCCAGACAGTCAGCTTATATATTATCCTCAATTATTGTAAGTTTTTTAATTTATTAATTTATAAATAATTGTAACTTTATAACAACTATATTGTAGAGTGACTGAAGAAGGTATTGAAATTATACCGAAAGCTTTCACAAATAAAAAGAGTCTCTTTTTAATGCCTAAGAAGATCTAGAAGATTTCAAAAATTGGCAATCTATATCTAAAATCTATATCACAATTTCCAATCACCGAGTTGCATTCCTTTAACATGTTATCCAGTAGTGAACAGCTTTGTGGATTACAATAAAAAGTTACATTGTTTGTTATTCTTAATTATATTTTAGGAACCTTACATTTTATTTTATTAATTAAGGAACAGTCTCTATATCTCAGGTAATTTACAATATAAAACACAAAGAAAACAGAGTGCATACTACGCCTTTTAACCAGTGACTGCATTTTAAATTCTTCTAACATACTTGCATATGATATCATAAAGGGATAGATGTGGTGTTGTTTAATATAAAGGTACCTCAAAAATCTTTTTGGTACTTTCTCGATCAGGGCATTATTGACCTCAGCTTGGGGAGCCCAAATGACAGAGGCATATTCCAAGTGAGGTCTCACAAGAGCATTATACAAAGTGACTATGGAGCTAATCACCTTGAAGTGTCGTGTGCTCCTAATAATAAATCCTAAAGACCTATACGCCTTAGCAACAACATTCTTATAATGAGTATTGAACCTTAAACCTTAGGTTTGTCTACAAATAAATCCCAAGGTCCTTACACCTGCTTTCTCTATTAAGCACAGCCCCATCCATCACATAGTCGTATTGGATGTAATTTCACTTACATTTAAAAGTTATTACTTGACACTTACTCACATTTAAAAACATTTTGTTATTCCTAAACCACTGTGTAACAGTATCCAGATCATTTTGCAAGAGCTGACAGTCCTGAGGTGTTTTTATAATTTTAAAAATTTTAAAGTCATCAGCATACAGAAGGCTATCAGAAAAATTAGGAGTAGCAGGCAGGTTGTTTATAAAAGTTGCAAGGAGCAGGGGTCCAAAGTTACTTCCCTGTGGCACTCCAGATGTTGCAATAAATTTCTCAGATACTCTCTGACCTACTTGCTGATGTCTAGATGATAGATAAGACTCCACAAGGAGACATGCCTCCCTAGAGAAGCCAAATTCATTCAATTTTTGAACCATAATGCCATGGTCATTGCAGGGGTCATTGGTAAACCTTGTCAAACGCCTTCGCACAATCTGTCATAATTACATCCAACTGATGTTCACTGTTTACTGCCTCTGCTCCTGTGTTTGTAAGAATGCACAAGTTTGTAACAGTTGACTTTTCAGGTAAAAAACCATGCTGTTGTGGTGCAAAACTACTTTGAAAAGATTGCAAAATATCGTCGCAAAATATATATTTGAATATTTTGGCTATTGAATTTAGAATGCTAATAGGCCTGTAGTTTTCAACCATGCCTACATTACCCGTTTAAAAGACAGGTGTTATGATAGCTTCTCTGAGGCGGTAAAGTAATTCATTTTTTCTTAAGGCCAAGTTAAAAATAAGCAATGAGCTAGATTTTTCGGAAACAGAGCAGAAGAATTGTGCGAAGGCATCTGCCATACCCTGAGAGTTATCAATTGTTTGATCTTCATAACACATTTCCAATAGTTACCCCATGGTATACCATTCCGTTCCCTACAAGAATTTACAAAACACCAAAAGCTACTAGGGTCTCTTTGTACATTGCTTTCAACATTTTCGTGCTACAATCTAAAATTTTCTTTGGTTTTATACTTGATACTATTTCTTAAACTTTTATAGTCTTCAACTCTCGCATCAACTATGATAGAACTTGCTCTACCATTTCTGATTTTTTTATGCAATCGATTTTTTTGCTCAATTCTCTTAATAAGATCCAATGAAAAGAAAACTGGAGTCACTGGAATGTCGCCAATGCAAATGAATTACATCTTGACATGAGCTTATAAAAGAAAAATTAACTTTTTAAAAATTTGGGGGGGGTTTCTTTTTCTTGTTAATTGTTCTTTATTTTTTCTATTTTGATTTTTTTAATGAGATTCCAGATAGTTTTCCATTTGGATTTAGTTTGAAAGTTTTTTTGCTTTTTTTAATTTTAAGTATATTGGATGGGATATTCTTTATAAAAGTTTCTACTTACAAGTCCTGATAGATAGAGTTCATATAGTGTTCTTTTGTTTTTAATGAATGTTTTTATGTCTGTAGTAATCCAGTCGAGAATCCAGTTGTTGGAAAAATTAGGTTGAGATAGTAGGTGATTGTTGTGATAAATAAATTGTATGTGACATCTACCTCTATTTCTCCAAACACCCCCGCCCATGTAGAGTTTTGAATTGCCTGTTGATATTGAGTGAGTTTATTTATGGAAAATGTTCTGCCTGTAAAGTAAGATTCTTTTATTCACTTTATAACTACTATCAATATTTTACTGTCTCGGCATGGTGATCACCTATACCTGTTTTGATACATAATTATTACAGAAATTTTGTGAATTTACAAAAATGTTGTCAATGCACGATTTTCTCTTTTTATTTGACCTAGCTATGTCCAAAATTGTTTGGTGAAAGATTGAGCATTTCATTTCTGTTTCTTGTTGAATAGTTGTTTTGTGATAAGAAATTGATGTTAAAATCGCCTGCCCAGACAATTTTGTAGTATGTTTACACTTGTCAGAAGCCCTTCTGACCAAAATTTCAAAGATTTGGTTTTAGTTTCTCAAACATGATCAATGCAAAAAATTACTATTTTTCCTCATATTTTTCTAACTGATAATTGAACAAATTTCCAACTTGGCTTCAATGTTATACAGTCTTTAACTTGGTCTTCAAATATTTTTAGTTCTCCGCAAAACCTTTTAGTTTTTCTTTAACATAGATATAGGTTCCTCCTCTTGTTGTTGTATTGAGGTCAAGGGGGGTTTGCATACTGTGCAAAATATAACAAATATAATTGATGAGTTTAAATTTTTTTTGCTTTCATTCGATGGGCAACAGTCAAGTTTGCCCCCCACTTGAAAACTGGCTGTAGTTTCGCGGCGGTTAGACTTGACTGACTCAATAAATCGGGTAAAAGTGTCTGCTACCAAAGGGTCTTAGATTTTTCTACATCAAAAGCATGATCATTAATTACAACTTAGTCCGGCTAGGTAAATCCGTTGCTAAAGTCTTTGCTATCCAACAATAAGTTAAACTTTGCCACAGAATTATTATCATATTGACAATGACACAATAAAATGTTTTTGTTAACTAACAAGGACTTGATAAAGGAACCTACGTTGAAAAAAAAAATTATATGGGTACCTACCACACAATTTGTAGCTTGTAAGTTTGTTTCCAAGGAATTTGTTCTGAAAAAAACATTGTAGGTAGTTCCAATTTTTAATGGAAAAATTGTAATTACTCGGGTAATTAGTTTTGTTAGCACTTTTTGGATCTGTATTTGCTTAGTGTTTATGTGGATTTTTCAATTAGTTTCCTTATATTTTTTTCAAAACACAAAAATGTTTGTCCACTTGCAGATGATCCATCTTTGATGGATGCATTTGAATTGCCCGTTTGAATATGATGAAAGTTAGACAACTTGCTTCACTGAGGGAAAAAACTTAGGAAAAAAGATTTTTATTTGTTCCAGTTATGTTCATAGAGTTACGTTAGGTGAGAAATTTAAAAGTGTCCAGCCAATCTTCCATTTCCAATCCCCTTCGCACCCCAAAACTAAGTTTTCTAACTTTATCCCAAGTTTGATCACAAAAAATAGCCGCTGTCTGCCACTATTGATACATTTTGCAGTTTCAGGTCTCTTGAATAATTACTGTAGGTAAAAAAAAGAGGGACGGAGTAAAGTTAAGTACCTTGCCACACTATTAATTATATTCTGTAAATTGCTTAATGTGTTTGCAATTTGAACAATTCTTTTCTAGTTTTGAGGTAAGTCTGAAAGACATTGAACATATTATTATTATTATTAATTTCCTTTATTTAGCACTTGGCTATCCCCCATATATCATGCTCCATATTTATATATTAGTAACTAGATGTCGCTCAAACTCTGTGTTATCTAATCTTTGCACCATTGCATATTTTCTTTCATTGATTCTTAATAAATCCACTTTCTCGACTCTCAGAACCATGATACTTTGAATATCCCCCAGAAAACTTCAACTTAACACTTTTTTATTTTCATTACAGCATGCTCTCATTAAGGATGTCCTAATGCCTGGTGAATGGGATGTCTGTGTCACGTCTTTTGAAATGTGTATTAAGGACAAATTGGCCATTAAAAAATTCAGCTGGGGCTACTTGGTTCTTGATGAAGCTCATAGAATCAAAAACGAAAAATCCAAACTCTCTGAAATTCTCAGAGAATTTAAAACATCAAACAGACTATTGTTGACTGGTACTCCATTGCAAAATAACTTGCATGAACTTTGGGCACTACTAAATTTCTTACTTCCTGACGTCTTCAATTCTTCCGATGATTTTGATGCCTGGTTTAATACCAATAAATGTTTAGGCGATAGTTCTTTAGTTGAAAGATTGCATGCCGTATTGAAGCCGTTTCTGCTGAGAAGATTGAAGTCCGAAGTAGAGAAGGGATTGATGCCCAAAAAAGAACTAAGCGTTTATGTTGGTTTGAGTAAAATGCAAAGAGAATGGTACACAAAACTATTAATGAAAGACTTTCACTTTATCAATGGGTTTGGAAATACTGAAAAAATCAGTCTCCAAAACATACTTATGCAGCTTAGAAAATGTACCAACCACCCATATTTGTTCGACGGAGCTGAACCAGGTCCACCATACACTACAGATGAACATATTGTATTTAATTGTGGCAAAATGGTAATTTTGGATAAATTATTATGTAAGCTCCAAGAACAAGGCAGTCGAGTATTGATTTTTTCTCAAATGACGCGTATGTTGGATATCCTTGAGGATTATTGCCACTGGAAGATGTACCCATATTGCAGACTCGACGGAAATACGGCCCATGAAGACCGTCAAAGCCAAATTAATGAATACAATAAAGAGGCCAGTGAAAAGTTTGTTTTCCTCTTGTCTACCAGAGCCGGTGGTTTGGGTATCAATTTGGCGACAGCTGATGTTGTAATTATTTACGATTCTGATTGGAATCCTCAGATGGATTTGCAGGCAATGGACAGAGCCCATAGAATTGGCCAAAAAAAACAAGTCAGAGTATTTAGATTAATAACCGATAATACTGTTGAAGAAAAAATTGTTGAACGTGCCGAGATTAAGCGTCATTTAGACAAGATTGTCATACAACAAGGAAGATTAGTGGATTCAAAAGCTGCAGCTTTAAATAAAGAGGAAATGTTGAATATGATCAGGCATGGAGCTAATCATGTCTTCGAGTCAAAGGACTCCGAGATAACAGATGAAGATATCGATGTTATCCTAGAAAGGGGTAAAACTAAAACACTAGAGTTGGCTCAAAAAATGGAAAAATTGGGAAAATCATCATCATCATCGAATTTTACAGTGGATGCCTCAAGTGAGTCCGTTTATAAATTCGAAGGAGAGGATTATCGGACAAAACAAAAAAAAAATCCTGTACTGAGTAATTGGATTGAGCTTCCCAAAAGGGAAAGAAAATCCGTTAATTTTTATTTAAACGAAGTCTTTGCAGCTTCCGAGCCGAAGGCACCAAAACCACTACTTCCGCCTAAGCAACCTATGGTGCAAGACTTCCAATTTTTTCCAAAGCGTCTTCTGGAACTTTTGGATCAAGAAATGCAAAATTACAGACGAAGTGTTGCATCTAAAGAAAACGTAGACTTGGAATCAGAGGCTAACAAACAGCATGATGATGATTCCCATCCTCTCACAGAAGAGGAGCAACAAGAAAAAGAACATTTATTAAGCCAAGGTTTTACTGATTGGAAAAGAAGGGATTTTAGCCAATTCATTAAAGCCAACGAAAAATATGGCAGAGACGACATTGAGAATATTTCTAAAGAAGTTGAAAGCAAAACCCCAGAAGAAGTCGCGCGATATTCTGCAGTGTTCTGGGAACGACGCCATGAATTGCAAGATATAAAGAAGATAATGGCTCAAATTGAACGTGGAGAGGCTAAAATTCGACAACAAGCCAGCATAAAACGAGCATTGGACGCAAAAATGGCCAGTTGTAGAGCACCATTCCATCAATTGCAATTGTCATATGGCAAAAATAAAGGCAAATACTACACCGAAGAAGAGGACAGATTTTTAGTTTGCATGTTGCATAAATTTGGTTTTGATAGGAAAGATGTTTACAAAGAAATTAGAGCAGCTATAAGAGCATCTCCGCAATTCAAATTTGATTTGTTTTTAAAGTCTAAAACTTCCATAGAATTACAGAGGCGCTGTCAGACTTTGTTAATGATAATCGAGAGGGAAAATTCTGGAGTGGAAGACAAAGAAAACAAGGACAAAAAGAGAAATCCGCCGAACACTGGCCAGTCAACTGGTAAGTACTAATTCGCTTTATTTTGAGACTGGACTAATTGTTCCATCATTGTAGATACTTCAGATCAAACTTCCGAGAAAGCAACACAAAAGAGGAAGGGCAGTGCTAGTACTTCTGCACCGGAGATCAAGAGGAGTAAGAAAGAGTAGCAGTTTTTCCTTATTTCCATTAATTTTGTTTTCGGTTTATTTATGCGTGCATGCATGTATGTATTATGTATTTCTATTCTGTTTATTTATGCATGTATTTATTTATAAATTTAATTTTTTTGTTTGTTGTTTTGAATAATAATTATGTTTAGTTGTCCCACACCGAATGTGTCCTTATTTTTATTCAGTTGTTTATTGATTCATGTATTTATTATTATGTACCTAGTATTGAATAATTATGTTTAGTTGTCTGACACAGAATGTGATATTGTTTTAATACAGAATTTTTTATTTGTCTTTTGGTTTTTTTCTATTACATAACTATAGGTACCTGAGAAAATTTCCTTTATTGAATAAATCGTCTCTACAACGTTTATTCAAAGGGACAATCTTTTTTTGTATCCGTGCTCACGCAATATGTGCCAAAAGCTCTGAAACAAAAAAAAATATATGGTAAAATGGTCAAAATTATCTTTTCTCTTTTGAAAGAGATATGAGATTATAACAATGTTTTTGAAAAAAATTGTTTGTGTCAACATAAAAATGACATATGTACCTAATTAATTATACATGACAATGTTACTTTTGAATTCTGGACCTTACGGTACACCTACTTTGTTATTTAAATTAATTTGTTTATTAACGGACTTGCCATTTAGCTTTTACAATCTATCATAAATTACATTGAATGCACTAAAATTACAATAACTAAAATACAACTACAAAAAATAGAATAGGATAATTAACCTTCCGGAGCTCGCTCTAATTATTTTGGAGAGGACGCTCGCGCGCGGACCCACAATCCGCAGCCTTCAAATGTGCTTTTTTAATGACTATTTCCAGAAATTGTTGGCAATAAATGTTAATTGTTATTTATTTTAAGTTCCTATTCATCGAATACATTGATTTTGGCATCTTAACAAAACCCTCTGCTAGAAAAAATGAAATACATTGATTTTGGCCAACTCAGCAAAACTTATTGCTAAAAAAATTCAAAAATCTTATTGTGAGCGGCATTTATGACAAATAACAAGTGAATGCTCCTCGGAATGCTCTAAACACACATTTGTGGCATTCAATGCAAGAAAAATGAGAAGGTCTCACAGTGCACATTGGCTATTAATTGGCAAAAAACGCACAGACCAAGGTACCAATGGGCACTGCCTCTAGGAGAACTCGGGATAGAAAGATACTTAAGATTGCAGCGCCGTGTTTTGTCGATTTTTGAAATAAACGGCAAAGTAAGATAGTTGCGGAGTGAGAGTCCGCGCGCGATCTCCGGAAGGTTAATAGATTCACCCAGCCTTTCCAGTAATTTAATACAATTTAAAGAATTAACTTAATAAGTCTCTTGAAACAAGCAATATCAGTACAGAAAAGATCAGCACTACCACACTTTGAATTTGCCAGCCCACATTCTGGACATATGACTATTTAACCCATAGTTAGTTCTATGAAAATCTATTGCAAATAAGTCATGCTGACGGGTTAATCTTTGGGGTACTCTAATATTAATATTACTTAACAATTCAGGGCTGTCAATGATGCCATTTACAATTTTGAACAAAGTAATTATATCAAATTGAGTCCTTCTAACTTCCAAAAGTGGTAAATTCAACTTTGCATACAAATGTTCATAATTAATATCTTCCATGGGAATTCCCAATTTAAAATTTATAGTTCTCAAAAATCGTCTCTGTACCTTCTGCAAAGAATCTACATAAACATTATAATATGGAGACCAGGGCTGGAACTCTGTAACAAATAGAGATATTTTCTCTATCGTTATTGACGTTTCCTCTCTTTTGATTTCGACAAGAAAGAAGAAGACAGCAAGTGCCATAGCGATAGGGATAACCATCCTTATCCGTTACAGAGTTCCAGCCCAGGATGGACTAGCATACTCCAACACTGATCTTACAAAACTACAATACTCTGAAGTCTGAAACACGTGACATCACGAAAATCAGCAAGTGTTCTATTTACAAGGCCTAACAATTTTATTGCTTTATTCCTCATATAATTTATATGGTAATCAAACGGCAGCTCACTGTCAATATAAACTCCAAGGTCTTTTATAACATTAACTCTTTCCAGTTGCTCATCACAGATTTCATAATCAAATGGAATGTTCTGTTTTTTTCTAGATACGGTTAAGATCTTACATTTCTGAATATTCAATTCCATACCGTTTAACTTACACCACAGGCACAGGCTATTTAAGTCTTTTTGCAATTCAAGACAATCTTCAGTATTCCTTATAGTCTTAAATAACTTCAAGTCATCAGCAAAAAGAAGTTTACTACTGAATTTAATTTTAGAAAGAAGATCATGTATAAAAATGTCAAAAAGTATTGGTGCCAGATGTGATCCTTGGGGCACTCCAGATAACACATTAATATTAGGTGATATCACATTCTTTATCTCAACTGCCAGCGTACGGTCTGATAAATAACTCTTAAACCAAGCCAGAATTGAACCATGAAAACCTACACACTCCAATTTATTTGTGTAACAAAATATCGTGCTGCACCCTGTCAAAAGCCTTGGAAATGGTTGGTTATGACGAATTGAAGCGATGGGCGATATGTAATGTCTAATTTTATACATTAGGCGCTGATTTATGATTCTTGGTTGGGCAATTTAGTAGATCAGGGGTTTTATATTATAAGAATCCGTTTTCCGTAGTAGTTGCGTTCAAGGATGCGTGGTATTTGAACTACACTGTATAGAGATATATGCATATCCACAACAGGGACAGGACATTTGAGCCTTGGTTTCTGACGGCTCCTTTTAAAAAAAAATCTGGCCACCAAACTCTCAATATGGTTATCTTTGAACTGGTGTTGGTAATAGGACATTTATTTTCTCCGTAATTTCAATTCTGCTCTAATCCTCTTAAATACTTCCATGGCAAAAAAACGATTTATTCTAAATGTTTTGTGCCAGGCCCAACAAAAATTTCGTTCACAATATTGGCCAAAAAATTTTATATTACTGGCTTTTCTAATACTTTTCACTTCCTTTTTGAAAATGAAAGTTTAACTTCCCAAGAAAAGCCTTCTCTAAGCAAGAGGAAATATATGATTGGTTTAACCTATACCCATTATTGATAATGATCAAATGTGAACATTTTTGAGAGCTGTATTCAGTCCCATTTCTAGACAGCTTCGTTTCGTACAAACAAAAAAAAACTTTCTCGCTTCTGCCAGCAAATCACTCAGGGCCGCCGCTACCATGTGTGCGGTGTGTTCAAAACACACAGGCGGCCGATTGAAAGGGGCGGCCGATTAAAAAAATGTTGCCGCCGACGATCCTGATGCAAAAAAAATATGTAGGTACACACGTGGTAGAATATTAAAAACCACCCCCCTCCGCTCGTACAACTTTTAGACTTAGCGTATGAGTCGGGGTAAAGCAGAGATAGCTTACGATCAAGCACTTTTCTTACCTAAGTTAAAGTTAGTTTCTTAGCTGAGCTAAGTTGTTTGATCGTACGCGCAATTCATATAGGCTGATCAGCTGCCTATCAAGTTACGACTCACGTCACGTATGTCTAGTTCGGGTTCTAGTTACGACGAGAGTTTCAGGTTCAGTTTGTTGTTTTTATTAATTTATTTTCAATTGAAATTGAAACTGAATTGTTTTTCTACTACAGCACAGTTTATTTCACATTAAAAATGAACAATTATCTACCTAGAAGTGTCATGACGCGTGCAATGGCAATAATGAATATTAAATTTCATTAAACTGAACACCTTTTCAAAGTTCCTGTTCCAACGACCAACTTTCAACAAAATAAAAATAAAGAAACAACCTCAATTTAGAAATTATTAAACGTCAAAATTCAAAAAATGCGTACTTCGCGCCAACTTAGGTCAGCTAAGTTATCTCAGTTAAAAATCCGGGTGTCTTAGCAGGGGACAGGGGGGAAGGCAGATTCTAACTAAGTTGTGATAGATCGTACGCGCAACTAAGTTAGATTCTTTAAGTTAGGTAAGAAAAGTGCTTGATCGTAAGCAGCTATGGGAGAGTTGTGGGTTAGAATAGAATTAGGCAATTCAAACCACGTGATACTCAAGATGGCGTGGCGGCCACACATGGGCCAAAAAACACAAAAAAATATCTAGTTTCTGCCCGATTTAATAGTTTAGGTACCTAGTCAACAAATATCGTATTAAATAATCAAAATTAAAGTTACAAGCAAAACTCTAAGCAAAATAATTTAAAATACACATAAAAACGTATTCAAAACAAGCTTGCTTGGCCGCCACGCCGTATTTAATTTTCCATTTTGACAGATGGATTAAATTGCCTAATAAGGGTCCATCCTGCGCAACTGGCCGAATTTGAAGGACCGCCATTTCTATCACTTGTCAAGTTAGGTGTTGGAAAAATAGGTCATGAACAACTCATAACTCCAAAAATAAGCGGAAATAACAAAAAGAAATCTTTTAAAACACCGCTCTGATAAAAATATCTCAGAAAAAGCAGGAAAAATCGCCAAAAACAACAATCTGTAACCAACCAAAAGTAAGGTTATGTTGTGATAAATCTGTCAGATTGAAGTTGTCAACGTAAAAACTAATGGCGTTTCCGATTGGTAGATTTAATGCGCACTGAGTATATTTTCATCCTTTTTCATCAACCTGTAGAAGAAAAAGACAGAAATAAAAAAAACTGCACTAGATCTACTAATCGGAAACGGCATAAGTAAAAAGTGATAAAATTGGCGGCACCCTATGCGTTACCATAAAATCGGATGCGCAGTCGTCTAAGCGCATTCTATTTCCCTCACATAGGTATCTCTTATGGGGTAAAGACGAAGGACAACACAAAAAGGAGACGCGTATCTGCAGTGACGTCACAAGGATATCGGCGCTTGATAATAATAGGCAATCCTACTTGTTTTTAAATCTTTGGTTTGGGTTAGTTGAAGGCCGACTAACGATTGTCAATTCGTCGGCCTTCATTGTCATTAGCTGTTTTTTTTCCGTCTCTCTACGTTATATCTTTCTTCTTTTTCGTGTAACGAAATTTCCCAAAACGTTACGTTAAGTGACGCGTCCTTCAAATCACTCTCCATTTTCGACAAAATATATACCGCCGCCTAAAGAAAATACACTTCAAAATAAATCATAGGTAGCCATCGACTTTTATCGAAAATAAATCTCTCAAACAAATCAACCATCAAGCTTTAATAACGAAAATAAACCGAAAGTATTTCTTCACAAATTTGTATTACATCCCTAGGCGGCGGGCGGTCTGATATACAATGGTGATATGAAAGACGCGTTACGTTTTGGAAAATTTCGTTACACCAGAGACAAGAAAAATGTAACGTAGAGAGAAAGAAGAAGACAGCCAATGACAATGACAGCCGACAAACCATTGACACAAAGAGGATTGCCTATTATTGTCAAGCGCCGAT